CAGACTTTCGAGGAGATCAATTTCCCCCTTACCGCATCTGCAGCTCCCTCCAGCTTCCCCAATTTCTCATAGGCCAGGCCTATATTAAAATACGTCATCGCAACAAACCTGTTCTCTTCCTTCCCCCCAGTGTGAGTGAGAAGGATCTGCAGAGCCTCTGAATACAACTCCACAGCCCGCGCATAAGAACCTGACGACCATGCCATCCAACTCCTCCTAGGCCGGCTCCCCTATACCTTGCACGTGCAGCATTCCAGCTGCGTTATTGAGACATTCGGCTACTGAGAGGTGCTTTGCACCCACACAGCTTTTCCTCAACTCCAGCGCACGATTGCATATGGCCAAAGCCTCGGGGATACCTCAACGAATGCTCCGATATTTTCATGGCGCGCGGTAATCCACACACACAGATCACGACTTCAACTCGGGATAGGTTATTACCATCATCACCATCCCGTTCCCGGATAGCGACACTAAGACAACTATATGCTGATGCCAGTTGATACCTTAGCGCTCTGATCCGCTCAGTGTTGTCTGCGGGTGTATCGCGGATCAGTCTGAACAGCCAGCAACGTTTTTGCTCACGACCTTGTGAGCTTTCGGTGGTCGAAACTGATCTTGAGTTTGACGAATTCGAACTTGTATTCAGGAGTTCATAGATATCATTTACGAATTCGAAGTTTCATTTCCATGTCGAATTTGGACGTTCATACCGTGAAAACCTTTCCCCTCCCTACGAGAACTATATCGAAGTTTTTTAATTTGCTGAATTTGAGATTGAAAAAGTGTGAATAGAATTTCGGCTACACAAGAGAAAGTGCAACAGCATGAACAGGTAGTGAAGCCAGAAAATATAAGTTACCTTTCAAGAACTGCACAAGCTTCCTTATAGGCCTCCACAGCTCTATGCAATTTGTCAGCCCTGTGATAGTGCATCCCCAGATCACGATGCAGCTTGGCCTACATCATGCAACAGTGTTGGAGTATAAGTTAGTTTTCCTCGGCTAAGACCATGAGTTGCCGCGGTAATTTTACAAGTTGACACTCCTATTCAGCTGGAACTGTACAGAAACCAATGAGAATTTCCCAAAGTTTCCTGAGAATGTTCATATTCTCACCAACATACATGGTTTCCTTCATTACGACAAGCATAACTCAACATGAGGACCGTATGAGTCCCCTGAAGGTACCACTGCTTCTGTGGAGTTGTCGTTCCCTGCAGCCTCAATAGCACCCTCAAGATAGGCGATAGCTTGGGCCAGCCTGATCGGGTCGTCGCCTATACCGTCGAACTTACCTATCACCACGATGGATGCGAGAAGAAAGCAAGTAGAGATAGTAGTGCATAGATTGAATCCCTCATATTCAACGACACCATAGTAAACAGTAGTGAGGCCCCCCTCCCCTACTACCAAGACCTATATAGCTGTTCCCCACAGTTTTCAATGTCGCCGTGGAAGCCGGCGCACGCTCCTGGCCAGGGACTATCGTAGTCGAAGAATCGAGATGATGGGGACGACCTACAACCAATGACGTTCAACGAACTCCTCCGTTGAGAATTCCCCACAGAGATTAACCGACAGCTGCCTAGGTGCGATCGAGGGAAGGGTAACTGCATATCTCTCCGAAAGGGGCCGAGTCCGATGTGAATACTCATGTTTCTAGTGATAACACACGCTCCACAACCTTACCTGTGTTTTGCGGTGCTCCCCCAGTAGATGCACAGAATGCTCGAGCCGCAATAGTGTATGTTAGCGGTCGCAGCATCACGCGACTGATCGACGACATGACACTGCACGACAATAGCAAGGAGAGAAATGATTGCTCCAACACAACTGCTGCTCTCGAGGACTAAGCATCGAGGATTACTCTTAGACCACCTCCTGTTCAACACTGACCGAGCCAACAAGCGTGAAAGACCGCTCTTGAAGACAACTAACCTCATCATCTTCGGTCTCGCCAATCCGACACACGCATATACTGTGGCGTTCATCGCCTAGTGTAATAAAAGAGTTCCCCACGTACACATGACTAACTCAACTATTGAATAGCTATGGAGTATTTGTTATTAATCCGGAGAAACGTCATACAAATGCAACAGTAGCAGCACTCTACTCTTCCTTCTTGTCCTCTTCCTTCTTGTCCTCTGCCTGCTTTTCCTCCTTCTTATCGGCCTTCTCGCCAGAGATGATCTCAGCGTTCTCCTGCTTAGCCTGATACATGCAAATCGCCACCAAGAGCCACAATCAAAACTAGCCGAGCATACCTCGTTGAAAGCCTTCTCGAAAGCCTTGGCAAGGTCAGGGTTGCCGAATTTCAAAGCGAACTGCTCGGTGCGTTGTTCGCCCTCAGCATAATCACTGGCCATCCACACCCAGCACTTCTCTGACCTACAGAAGACATTCTCCCTACTATTCAACAAGGCGCAGTACCCTACCCAGCGTTAGGCTTGAGGCTGCAGTAAGGACCATTCTCGACAACGTAATGATTGGCGATAATCTTGAGAGTCTTCTCCTGACGCATTAGTGCGCGTACCTACATTGAAATCAAAGCTGAAACGAGCACTCCGAATACATACTCTTCCGCTCTTCTTCTCTCTCAATAAACGCATCTCGCCAGTACCACGCTCCTTCCACTCACCAGAGCCCTCATCCTTCGATATCCACCTGATTAAACACAGTCGAAGAGTTGCCAAGACGAAGAACAAAGCCCCACCTGTAAAGCTTGCTCCTCTGACGATACAACTCCTGTTCGTCTTCCTCACCAGTTTCGATCTTATCGCTCACTTCAAGAGAGACGGAAGGAGCCCATCCGTCGACCTCGGTGACCTATGATGAATAACACACGGTCAAGATCAGATCTCAGCGAGGAGGAAGACCCCTCACCTCTTCTTCGTCGACCTTCTCGATCACTTGGGCCTTCTCAGCAGTCGCAGTAGCCTCAGCAGTCTTCTCAAATTCAGTCGTTGCCATTGCTAGAGATGTAGGAGCAGCTGATCACATGTAGACCTCATTCGTATCTTCCAGTCAACCTCTAAGATATCTTTCTA